GACAGAGTGAGGGAGGTTGTGACTAGTGACAGTCACCACCTCCCTCACTGTCACTAGTCACCCCCTCCCTCACTCTGTCACCAGTCATCCCCTCACTCTGTCACTAGTCACCCCTTCCTTCCCTCACTCTGCCACTAGTCACCCCTTCCCTCACTCTATCACCTGTCACCCCCTCACTTTGTCACCTGTCACCCCCTCACTCTGTCACCTGTCACCCCCTCACTCTAGTGACAGAGTGAGGGAGGGTGTGACTAGTGTCAGAGAGAGGGAGGGGGTGACTAGTGACAGAGTGAGGGAGGTGATGATTAGTGACAGAGGGAGGGATGGGGTGACTAGTGACAGTCACTGTGTCACCCCCTTCCTCACTCTGCCACTAGTCACCCCTTCCTTCCCTCACTCTGCCACTAGTCACCCCTTCCCTCACTCTGTCACCTGTCACCCCCTCACTCTGTGACCTGTCACCCCCTCACTCTAGTGACAGAGTGAGGGAGGGGGTGATTAGTGTCATAGAGAGGGAGGGGATGACTAGTGACAGAGTGAGGGAGGGAAGGGGTGACTAGTGACAGAGTGAGGGAGGTGATGATTAGTGACAGAGGGAGGGATGGGGTGACTAGTGACAGTCACCCCCTCCTTCACTCTGTCACTGTGTCACCCCCTCCCTCACTCTGTCACCGTGTCACCCCCTTCCTCACTGTCACTAGTCACCCCTTCCTTCCCTCACTCTGCCACTAGTCACCCCTTCCCTCACTCTGTCACCTGTCACCCCTTCACTCTAGTGACAGAGTGAGTGAGGGAGGGTGTGACTAGTGACACAGAGAGGGTGGGGGTGACTAGTGACAGAGGGAGGAGTGACTAGGGACAAAGTGAGGGAGGTGGTGACTAGTGACAGTCACCACCTCCCTCACTTTGTCACTAGTCACCACCTCCCTCACTCTGTCACCAGTCATCCCCCCACTCTGCCACTAGTCACCCCTTCCCTCACTCTGTCACCTGTCACCCCCTCACTCTAGTGACAGAGTGAGGGACGGTGTGACTAGTGACAGAGAGAGGGAGGGGGTGACTAGTGACAGAGTGAGGGAGGTTGTGATTAGTGACAGAGGGAGGGATGAGGTGACTAGTGACAGTCACCACCTCCTTCACTCTGTCACTAGTCACCCCCTTCCTCACTCTGTCATTGTGTCACCCCCTTTCTCACTCTTTCACTAGTCATCCCCTTCCTTACTGTCACTAGTCACCCCCTGCCTCTCTCTGTCACTAGTCCCACCCTCCCTCACTCTGTCACTAGAGTGAGGGCGTGACAGGTGACAGAGGGAGGGGATGACTGGTGACCGAGTGAGGGAGGGGGTGACTAGTGACAGAGTAAGAGATGGAGGGGGTGACTAGTGACAGAGTGAGGGAGGTGGTGACTAGTGAGGGAGGTGGTGACTAGTGACAGTCACCACCTCCCTCACTCTGTCACTAGTCACCCGTTTATTCCCTCACTCTGCCACTAGTCACCCCCTCACTCTAGTGACAGAGTGAGGAAGGGGGTGACTAGTGACAGAGTGAGGAAGGGGGTGACTAGTGACTGAGGGAGGGGTGACTAGGGACAGAGTGAGGGAGGTGGTGACTAGTGACAGTCACCACCTCCCTCACTCTGTCACTGTGTCACCCCCTCCATCTGTCACTGGTCATCCACTCCCTCCCTCCCTCTGTCACTGGTCACCCACTCCCTCCCTCACTTTGTCACCAGTCATCCCCTCACTCTGTCACTAGTAACCCCTTCCTTCCCTCACTCTGCCACTAGTCACCCCCTCACTCTAGTGACAGAGTGAGGGAGGGTGTGACTAGTGACACAGAGAGGGTGGGGGCGACTAGTGATAGAGGGAGGAGTGACTAGGGACAAAGTGAGGGAGGTGGTGACTAGTGACAGTCACCACCTCCCTCACTTTGTCACTAGTCACCACCTCCCTCACTCTGTCACCAGTCATCCCCCTCACTCTGCCACTAGTCACCCCTTCCCTCACTCTGTCACCTGTCACCCCCTCACTCTAGTGACAGGGTGAGGGACGGTGTGACTAGTGACAGAGAGAGGGAGGGGGTGACTAGTGACAGAGTGAGGGAGGTTGTGATTAGTGACAGAGGGAGGGATGAGGTGACTAGTGACAGTCACCACCTCCTTCACTCTGTCACTAGTCACCCCCTTCCTCACTCTGTCATTGTGTCACCCCCTTTCTCACTCTTTCACTAGTCATCCCCTTCCTTACTGTCACTAGTCACCCCCTGCCTCTCTCTGTCACTGTGTCACCCCCTCCATCTGTCACTGGTCATCCACTCCCTCCCTCCCTCCCTCTGTCACTGGTCACCCACTCCCTCCCTCACTTTGTCACCAGTCATCCCCTCACTCTGTCACTAGTAACCCCTTCCTTCCCTCACTCTGCCACTAGTCACCCCCTCACTCTAGTGACAGAGTGAGGGAGGGTGTGACTAGTCACAGAGTGAGGGAGGGTGTGACTAGTGACAGAGAGAGGGAGGGAGTGACTAGTGACAGAGTGAGGGAGGGAGTGACTAGTGACAGAGGGAGGGAGGGAGGGAGTGACTAGTGACAGAGGGAGGGATGGGGTGACTAGTGACAGTCACCACCTCCTTCACTCTGTCACTGTGTCACCCCCTTCCTCACTCTGTCACTAGTCACCCACTCCCTCCCTCACTCTGTCACTAGTCACCCCCTCTCACTCTTTCACTAGTCATTCCTTCACTCTGTCACCAGTCATCCCTTCCTTCCCTCACTCTGCCACTAGTCATCCCTTCCCTCACTCTGTCACCAGGCATCCCCTCACTCTGTCACCAGTCACCCCTTCCTTCCTTCACAGTGACAGAGTTAGGGATGGGGTGACTAGTGACAGAGAGAGGGATGGGGTGACTAGTGACAGAGAGAGGGATGGTGTGACTAGTGACAGAGTGAGGAAGGGGGTGACTAGGGACAGAGGGGGTGACTAGTGACAGAGTGAGGGGGTGACTAGTGACAGTCACCCCTTCCCTCTCTCTGTCACTAGTCACTCCCTCCCTCTGTCACCAGTCACTCCCTCCCTCTGTCACCAGTCACCTCTTCCCTCTCTCACTTTGCCACTAGTCATCTCTTCCCTCCCTCCCCCACTCTGCCACTAGTCACCCATTCCCTAACTCTGACACTAGTCACCCCCTCTCCCTCCCTCTGTCACCAGTCACCCCCACTCACTGTGTCTCCCCCTCACTCTGCCACCACTCAACCCCTCCTTCCCTCACTCTGCCACCTGTCACAACCTCCCACACTCTTCCACCTGTCACCTTCTCCCTCATACACTCTGTCACCTGTCACATATGCATTCACACAGACACTATATACAAAAAGCACATGTAGTCATCCAGACATGCACAAGTACATTCACACAGACTCAAATACAAACATGCATTGATACACAGGTCTTCACAATATACACATCCAAAGGAATGCCGTATTATGAGTTATATTTAACATTTATTTAATGCACGTATATTTGGCCTTCAAAGGGCCTGGGATCTAATTTTGTCCGGGGGCCCCAAAGGCTCTCAGTCCGCCCCTGGTGTGGATTATGCTTCCATTTTGCCCAGCAAGTAGCCACACCCCCATAATAATAATAATAATAATGATGACTGAGTTTAGCTGACACAGTATTGAATGCAAAATCTATTACATAGAGAAGATAAAAATCTGGAACATAACTTCCTATAAATTATATACCAACAGAATTAATATCTGGAACCTGTGGATTAAACATGTTATATTGCCTGGATGAAAGGACATAGGGAATATGATAAATGGGTAGAAAATAGTGGACAATTTGATAGATGTAGTGGGGAACATTAACAAATGAGGAAGTCATAAGTCTATGTTTCCAGAGCACTAAAGAGATAGAACATGTACTGTGGGAACTCACATAGTTACATGGGCTAAAAAGATATGTGTCCATCAAGTTCAGACTTTATCACATCTGTTATTGCTGTTGATCCAAAAGAAGGCAAAAAACCTAGTTTAAAGCGTTTTCCAATTTAACAACAAACTAGGAAACAATTCCTTCTTGATCCCCAAATGGCATTCAGATCTCTCCTTGGATCAAGAAGCTGTCACCCCACATATTAAAAAATATATCCTTGAATGTTATGTTTTTGCAAGTATGCATCCAGTTGCTGTTTAAACATCTGTATGGACTCTGATAAAACCACCTCTTCAGACAGAGAATTCCACATCCTTATTGTTCTTACTGTAAATAACACTGACTGAAAACAGTTCTTTTTGTAATATACAGTGGTTTCTTTGCAGTGAATTGTAATGAATTTTGGACCAAAGTTTAAACCAAACTCATTATGATGGAAAAATCCTGCAATCCAACTTGGTTATAATTACCTGAATATTTTATTTATTCATGACAATACACATTTTTATTTATTTTTTAACCATTCTTTATTTTTTGTAGTCCAGTGCATAACAAGACAGGATGGCAAATATATTCTACAAGAGTACACCCAGATGCATACACAGCAAAACATGTCACGAGTACTGCACATTAAATGAGAACTATCAATTAAATCAGCTGAAACACAGCTCTATTAGAACAGGAGACCAATCACAATATAGCAGAGTAGAACAGTGTGAGAATATAAGAGTGAGATACCACCGGGCAGGTAATTGTAGGTGAGCAGTAGGAGAATAAGGAAAAGATAATGAAGAGAAACCCAGCAATAACATTCATAAAAAAACTGGCTAAAGATGAAGGTCAACATTGCCAAAGATAGGGAGGGCTAGGTGTCCACAAAATAGGCCAGCTGATGAGGAGAGACCCAAAGCTGTCAGCCTATGCCCAGACTGGACAGACTTTTCACACTACTGTGCAGTCTAGGAGGGTAGGTAAAGCTGCTGTGCCAGAGCAAAGCCTCTTCCCAGTCCCAGGCTGGAGTAACTGTATTCTCCCATCCTTGAGAAGGCAGGCAGCCTGCGTGATCTCTGTCGCTACTAACATATTGTCCGCCGTTTTTTGCATTTTTTGTAATAAAGCTGGTCTCCAGAAGGACCTCGTGTAGGAGAAGGGCTTGTGATTGAAGGGACAGCTGCCTTATTAGAAGTGTGAAATGTAGGCACTGAATATACAAATGCCAAGGTCCACACACCACTCTCTGTGTCCCAGATAGTGAATATATACAATACTTGTATGTATAAAGGTATATATCGATGGTATTCCGTATGGTTGGATCCTACAATAATAGAAAACAGTACATAGTTGTGACGAGACCAACCATTGCATTGGAGAAGCCAGGTTGCTCGCCTGTTGCCTTGGGCTTGATTTTCCCCTGCAAAGACAAGAAAGCCGGGTCATTTGGTGCTTGTCCTGTTTGAGCAGTGATAGCCCAGATAGCTATGCCATGGAGCCCATTCGTATAATGAAAGACTATGGGAAAGACTTTGGCTCCATGGCAATTGAACTGTATGTGTGTGCTCTGAGCGCCATTCAGTAATAATGTGCGCTTAGACCTAAGCTATCTGGGCATATGTTGCATGTCTGTATTTTATGTCATAAATGTAACCTTGTGTATTTTATTGTATTTTACTGTCTTTTTGCTGCCATGTGTTCAGTGGAATTTTGCCTCTGTCTTTGGAGATAATTAGATTACTTCTAATTATCTCCAGGATAGAAGACTCTGTGGAACTGGTTTTGGGCAGAAAAGCCATGCTTCCTGTGGTCACAAAGGACTACGATCTATCTTTTGAACCACTGGACCAATTTGTATGATATTGACGTATGTTTGTATTTGGAGTTTGTATTTTGAATCTTTTTCTGCTCGCATGATGTCCATCATCGTCCAACAAAGAAAACGTAACCTTGTAAAATTAGACAGGGAAATTAATGAGATTAAGGATAAACTCCAACCTATGTCAGATATTGAAGAAATGACTATCTCCCTTAAAAGGGTCCAAGAAAATGTTGACAAACAGGAGGAAGAGGTTATTTCTGTTAAAAAAAAGTAAATACATTAGGGACAAGCATGATTATGCCTATGATAGAGTTCGCTCGTTTGCTAAATATAAAAGAAACTATCCTAGGAACTTTTACTCTGGGTATAAACCTAAGAACTATAATGGAAATAATGAAAATGGATATAATAATAATAAATTCCATTCCAAGGAGTATAGTAAATCTACTTTTAAGAATTCTCCTTAACTCAGTGGACCAAATAGGATACAACCTCTCAAACGCAATCAGCAACATACCCCTAATTACGGAAGTAGGTTTAGACCCTTGATGGATGATACTGTCGGTAACAACAGAAATCATGCTGTTAAAAATAAAACTAAATCCTATGCTGAAATTTCCCAACTTCCATCACGTCCTTTTTTAGTACAGGACGAACCTCCCCGCCCACAGAGGTCAAAGAGACCCTGTGATCAGGGAGAAGGGCATGTCGAGCAGGAAGACTGTTGGACCATGAAAAAAAGAGGAAAAAATCACCATTAGGCATCTTCAATCTTTCAGACAAAGTTTTAACTGATAAAGAATTGGAAGTTCTGAATAAGGGCCTAAAATTTGCACCGACCAGTAGTAATAAACCCTTTAATACATTTATAGATGTTCATAAATTCATTCGTAAACTTTGTTTAAAGAAACATTTTAATAAATTTTCCACTAGCGAACAAGGAGATATTGTTAATGATATCTTTGTTCACACTAACTTAAAAGATAGATCCCAATTTTTTCCAAGAAACCATATCAGTGGTGAAATGAAAGTTTTTGAAAAACTAGTTATGAAAGACGTGAGACAAATAACTAAAAAGAAAAAAGGTAATCTTAATTACTCTCAAATTAAAGCCCTTAGGAATCTTCAACAAGATCATAATATCGTTATCAAGCCAGCCGATAAGGGTGGGGGCATCGTTGTGCTGAACGTTGTGGATTATATGGAGGAAGTATACAGACAGCTGAACGATGCCTCCACCTATGTTAAATTAAAGGCTGATCCCACACCAGAAATAAGAAAAAATACACATTATTACTACTAAGTAAGGGCATGGAAGATTGCATTCTCAACAAACATGAGTAAAAATATCCAAACATATCAGTGTGTCGTATACCAGTTTTTTACATCCTCCCAAAAATTCACAAGGATATTAAAAACCCTCCCGGAAGGCCCATAGTATCCGGGATCGGCTCTATACTAAGCAGGTTATCTGAATATATAGACAGATTACTCCAACCTTTGGTGATTTCACAACCTACGTACCTCAGAGATTCCACCCAGTTATTAAACATCCTACAGAACATCCAGTGGGAGGAGGACTACCATCTAGTAACATGTGACGTGTCCAGCCTTTACACTTTCATTTCACATGAGTTGGGTTGTGACGCTGTTCAACATTTTTTGACACTAAGTAATAGGTTTGTTGAGAGCCAGATCCAGTTTATTATAGATAGTATTCGCCTCATACTCGCTAACAATTTCTTTTGGTTCGATGGTCTATTTTTCTTGCAGTTAGTCGGTAATGCGATGGGGACCAGATTCGCTCCTAGTTACGCTAACTTATTTATGTCCCGTTGGGAGGAGACTTTCGCAGATATATCGACGACATCTTTTTTATTTTGAAGGGTACTAAAATTTCTTTGGACCTTTTTTTAGAAAGTCTCAATGATAACCAGAGAAATATTGTCCTAACCAGTCAAATCAGCCAAACGTCTGTCCAGTTCTTGGACCTAGAGATTTATGTTGTTAATAATCATATTCTCACGAAAACTTTTTTCAAACCAGTGAATGTAAATGGGTACATTGACACCACCAGTTGTCACTATGACCCGTGGTTGCGCAATGTACCCAAAAGCCAATTTAATCGTATTTTTTAAAACTGTAGTGATATTAAAGAATATGAAAAACAGGCAGGACGCCTAAAAAAATTTCTTTGTGGAAAAGAAATATGACTCCACAATTTTAGACTATCAGATTCAGGAGACTAAATTAATAAATAGAGAATCTTTATTAAAATACAAAGATAAACAAATAAACAAACGGACAGAGGAACCTCTTTTGATTTTAGACTATAGTGGTGATGCTAGCCATATTAAATCAATTATTAATAAATATTGGCATA